CATTAGCTCTCATGACTTCAATTAGCATCTCTTAGAGATGATTCCCCCAATTTATATATCCATTCAGTCTTCTCTGAATGAGCCCATTAAGACTTCTTCAAGGGGATATCCCATAGGCATCTCAAATTCAACACATCCAAAACAGAATTCTTGTTTCCTGCCCAACCTACTCCTCTTCCTGAATTCCTTATTTCTGCTGAAATACCCCCATTACTCCAGTCATCCAGGTTCACAACCTAGGAGACCCCCTCAACTCTTCACTCTCTTTTCCTCACCAAATCCAATGAAATGGCCAGCCTCATCTATTCTACCTCCACAACACCGCTTGCTTGGACAATTGCAACAGCCTCAGCCCTCTCTAGTAAATCCTCCACACACACAGTTGAACATTCCTAAAGTACAAATCTCACCAGGTCACTCCACAGCTCAAGAAGCTCCAATGGTTGGGGGGGGGGGGAGGTTAACTGGGCTAGGTGTTTAAAGCCGGTCCTAGTCTGGCTCCTATTCCAGGCTAATTATACATTACTCTGCATCACACACTATGATCCAGACAAACCAGCCCATTTTTTGTTTCCTATATGTAAAATTCTCATTAATAACAGAAGATGCATATAAAACAGGCATAAAAAGACAAGCAAATTTTCAAAGAAATTCTGGCAGCTATATGGAAATAGAAGAAGTGCACTCCCTAATATGCAGAAAGAATGCTAACCAGAGCACTGGGAAATCTGTATTTGAAACTTAGCTCTAACCCGTATTAGCTCTGGGATTTTGAACAAATCACTCACATTCTTCAAACCTCAGTTTCTTCATCTGTAAAGTGGGGAAAATTATGCTTATTATACTACCCCAATGGGTTGCTATGGAGAAAGTGATTTGTAAACTATAAAGTACTACAAAAATATAAGTAGCTACATGAAATCACATCAGTCTTCTCTGGCAAAGAATTTTTTTTAAACTTTCAATAGAAAACGAACTTTTAAAACATTACTATATCAGGATTAATTTTGATACTTTTGTCAGAATAAAATATCAATTGAATACTATGAAAGTAAAAGGTCACAATGGCCATTATATCAATTGCATGTTTCCAATAAGCAAGTGGTATACTGAAACTGCTTTGGGAACACAGACTAATAGGGAAAGCTAAAGAATCACTTATAATTTTAATCACAGTAACTTTGAAGTTGAAATTTTTTTTTTTCTGGAGGCAAAATGCCAAAATGGTTCATCATCCAGCTCCTGTAAGAGAGAGTCAATAGATTAAAGAACTGATAACAAGACAATTTAAATAGGTCAGGGACAAATTTCCCCTCTTCCACCCATATAACCATTCTTCTAAGAGAAGCAAAATTGTGTTGACTGTAAAATGACCAATTCTACCATTTTTCACCCAAATCCAAATGGAGATTATAGGCTCATATATTGAGTTGGGTTCCATAGAAGGACCCTTGGGGACATGCACTACTCAGTTTTTCAAATGAACTCGGAAGCCCAAAGGGTTAAGGAACTAGCCCAAGGTCACACAAGTATTACATGGCAGAGCTGAGATGACAGTGAAAAAGAAATCACTATGATCACCATAATTCAACAGTCCATTCTATGTACTGAATAATTATATATATATATATATATATATATATATATATATACACACACACACACAGGTATATAAATTATATATGTAATATAAATAGATAAAAATTTATACACACACACATATATATCATTCTTAGAATGCTCAGGTTGAAAGCAAGAGAATCCAAGGACAGAACTTTTCCAAAAACACTAGAAACTTCCAATCTACTAAGCCTTACTTCCCTTTATGACATCACTGACAGGTGATCACCCACTGCTATAAGGAAGAACTCTGTAACAATTACAGCTGTCAGTGATGTCATAGAGGGTATTCTTCCATTGTGCAGGAAGTTGGATGAAGATGCTCATTAAAGTCTCTTCCAATTACAGGAATCTGTGAATGTGTATGTTTTTGCTCTGAAGCTAGGGGAATAGGAAATATATGGGTACTATGTAATACTACTGTAAAATTAGAAGTCAGAGTAAATCAGCAACCTGGGATATTTGAACCAATAAACTGATGACTGGCAGTTAGAAGCAATTATGATTTCAGCTAATAAGAATTCCTAAATCAAACAACCTATAGAATTTTATTGTGACTACCCTGGAAAGCTCTGTGATTTTTCATGTGGGAACTTCCATTATGGGAACTCCCAAAAGATTCAGATCTAAACCGTTTATGACTTAATATATAAGTCTAGGGAGTTGACTAAGCCAAACAGTTAAGTGACTTGTCTAGAATCACATAGCTATATGTCAGAATTGGATTTAATCCCAGCTCTTCCTGGTTTCAAGCCTAGCAGTCTATTCACTAAATCAAATTGCCTCTATATTTTAAAATATATGTTTATTTAATCCATAATAATATAACCAAGGTAAAATGAGACTTCAATTTCCATACGGAATTCTGAGAATCAAATTCTGCCAATCAATGGAATGAAAAAAAAAAAATCAACATTCCAAATCAACTCAGCTGCTTTGCTTCCCAAAGAACTTCAGTTAAGATGCTACCAGTATTAACAAATTATGTATATTATTTTTATAATTAGCAAAGTTCATATTTAAACTTTCTAAGGCAACTAATTCTATAAATCTTTGGAGAAGGTACCAACCTGCATTGGCAGAGGGAGTATCCTCTCCTGGGAGTTTCCTATGCCAATGAAATCACTGGTTCAGTCCCTATCTCTATATTTGGACACTAGTCCTTGAATTCAGTGACAAATGAGCAATTTTGTAGTTCTTTTATCATTAATGCCCAACAATCTGCAAGTCATTATGTGTATTTTATCTTTCTTAGTGAAAGACAGTTTCTCTTGTTTTGAATGATTAAAACATTCTGATATGACCCCTTCCAGCTCCCAAATTCTAAGATTTTTTTTTTAAAATAAACCCAGGCAGATCTTGCCTAGAGTGGAAATTCCACTTAAGATACACATAAGACCTTTAAAAAGAAATTCCATTAAGGTTTTAAAACCTTATTCTACACCAAAAAGACTTAATAGCAGATTATCTACATCTTAAGACACATAATTTAAATACAATAATTACGAGACTATTTTCCTTGAGTTAGAGGAAAAAATTAATCATTCTTCATTCTTTCTATAGGGTATGAATTTCTTTGATATATACAGAACTCAAAACATTTGAACCACACATCAGCTTAACGGTAAAGTAGTTAAGAACAAAAGCCCACTAATTAGTATTCAAAAAGATCTTTAGAGTTCGAGGAGGTACTATAATACTGAATAAAAATGCCCAATCCTACCAAGTCAACATTTTCATAATCCGACAGTTACCTTTCAAGGGCTTAACTTGAAATGTATCAGAAAAAGGTTTGCCACAAAACATTAGCTTAGAAGAGGATCGAAAGGTATTGTTCCATAGTGGGAATAGAAGGATTAAGTCGTTAAGCAGCATTAACTGAAGCCAAAGGACGACATACATTTCCCAAACGCAGTAGTCTTTTTTAAAAGCTCAAGTGCCTGCTGTAAATTTTCACTCCCAAACCTAGGCAATCTTGGGAGCATAATGCTGCAATTTTACTAAGCTTATCTTACTCGTGCTCAATATGGCTGAAATTCTGTTAAAACTGTGCTTTCCTATCTTCAAGTCTGAAACTGCTCATGAGTCAGCCTGAACAGGGAGTGTTCCCTTGGCTTGTTCTGAGCAGATACCTTGTCCTTGATCACTGTGGCCCTTCGAAGGGATAAGCCAGTTACCAGCAGTTGAACAGATAATTTCTTTCCCCTTAGTACAAATCTCATAACTCAAACGCATTTCATCAGCTCAGATTCTACAAGCATAGATTTTTGGTCACTAGCACAGAACTAGCGCAGGGTATGATACCATTACAGTTAACAGGTGCCTCTAACAAGAAAGGGGTTGCCAGGCCTCGGGTCCAAGGGCTAACCTGTGGAATAATCACGGAGAAATGGTCTAGAAAAGAAATGTAGCTGCTGTCTCCTCCATCTTGAAATTAATCAGCAGAAGGGAAAACGGGAGTCTTCTAACCAACCGGTAGGCCCACCAATGAACGGTGATTCTGACGTGATGGTGAACGCAGCTCGCTAGCAACAAGGCCTGCGTAAACCCTCAGTATTTAAACCCTCAAGTACTTATTTTTTTATTTTTTTAAGAAACGAAAAGCTAAAAATGACTTAATCCAACTCGTACCCCCTATCCTAATGCCCCACTCCTTCCGGTTTGAAGCGGGGGTAAAACAGCAGACTCTATCAGCCCCAGGGAAGGAATCCTCTTGGGCGGGCGGGAGGGCGGCCGAGGGGGGAGGGGAGGAGGGGGTAGCGCGGCGCAAAATGGGCCCTAGAGAATGGCACAAAACTAAAAACGTTGACATCTCAAGGCCTTCGGATACCTGACCGTCTGGTTCCGATTCCCACTTGCCCAACCTCAAGGGGATGGAGCCCACCCCCCCAATTGGGGGAAACACCCCCCCCCACCCTGGATAAAAGTCCCCTTGGCCCGGCGATAAGAGGCGAGCATTTCATCCCGAGGGCTCCTAAACCTCGGAATTGGGCTAGGCGGGGGTTGGGGGGGGCGCGGAAGGGAGTCTCCAGGGGCTGGGGAGTGTGGCGAAGTGCGGCCAAGGCCAAGGTCCCCGGGCTTCAACCGCCATCGCCAACCTAAAATGGCATCGGCCGAGGGACTTGGCCGAGAAGCCCGCCCCCTGCCCTCCCCTCCCCTGTCCTGCTATCCTCTCTTCTCCTCAGCTCTCCTCTCCTCTCCCCGCGCTCCGCGGCCGGGCCTTAGGCTCCGGGCTGACTACCGGGTACCCGGGCCATTTTGAGAAGAGACAGAGGCGGAGAAGGCGGAGGGAGGCAGAGACGGTCGGGGCGGCTCCTCTGCGGGCTCCCCGACTCCCGCCCGGGGTGTCCCCGGGCTCCCGCCCGCCCACCACCACTTACTAAGGGTCGTTGGTGGGACGCGCCTCCCTCGCAGGGCCTGCGGCGACCTTCCTCGCCTCCTGCCACAGGCGTCTATGTCTAGTTGGGGAGACTCAGCGAGAGAGGACAGCCGCTGCCTTGCACGTCGCTCAGGCAGCCATTTCCTTCTCCATTGTTACCAGGGAACCGCCGGAAACGACTCCCACCAAACACAAAGTGACGGCACAACGCCCTGCTTACGCACGGCCCCACCCCATGGCCGTTGGGCCAATCCCCCTCAGTCTCGCGAGGTTTGCCTCCTGAAGAGAGGGCGCGCGGTCCAGCGGAGGCTTCACGCCCTTCATGTGACGGCCTCACGCGCCATCTTAAATTGAGGCCAGACCTTCGAGCCTACGGAGTCGCGAGACTCTCCCCCATGCCACCGGAAAAGGCTAGTTAGAAAAGGGCACATCCTGACAGGCCACATCATCCCTTCCCCCGCTCCCCCATTGCAGAAAAGAGCTGGCCCACAAATCCCACGGCCTTGACGGCAAGCCTCAGTCACCTCAGGGCTAAAGCACTCATTCAGATCAGGGCCTTCCTTCTGTTTCCTATCCTTCTGCCTGTGGCTGCCCGTCGGGGATATCTCTTATCCTCCCACCCGCAAATACCACCTATTGTGAGAATGTCCCTTGGTTACGTCCAGGCCTCCCATTTGTCCAAACCAAAACACTCAGCTCATTTTGACAATTCATGTAATTAGTGAATCATGCTATACATTGACTTCTCAAGCCCTCACTGGGAAAATAAAAAAAAAAAAAAATAGTTCTTCAACCTACTGTAATGACATTCAAAACCAATATTAAAAGCATGAGACTAACTGACAACATGTTTAAATTGACCAAAAAAAACCAAACATTTTTTTTTTTACCTATATCCTTCCCCCCAACCCTTATCAGTCCCTCATCGTGGCATGAAAATGACCTTGACTTCTCACAGACTAAGTCAGCTGAGCCTGGCTGTGGCCTATCAAAACAAGCAGGAAAGTGTTCAATGACAGACTAAGGAAGGGCTCTTGTGTGGCCCATCTTAGGGCAGGCCTAGCTTCATCAGAGAGAGGCTCCAGGTCAGCAAGTCAGTCATGGGATGATGAATTCTTTTGTCATGAAACCTATATACTCAATTATCAATGTACTGCAATCTGTGTTAGTACCACACCAATGGATCCTTGAAGTATTAAAAAAATAATTTACCTAGACATGGTGCTTTAAAGTTTAAAAGTTCTTTCCTCAGAACAATTATGTGGAGTAAAAGTATTATGAAGCTCGTTTTATAGCTAAGAAAATAGGCTCCAAAAGTGACTTGCCAAGGTGGTCAACACATATGGTATACTGAAACCTATTTTGAACCTAACTCTCAGATATGTTTGTGATTTAATGTTATAAGTTGGCATTAGTAGGACCATGGCTAAAGTGGGATGTTCTTCAGCCCCAACAGGAAGTGAATTGGCTAAAAGCTGGCCCTCAGCAGCCCCATTCCCTATCATATAGCTTTACATGGGGGATCTGCCACATCAGCCAATTTTATGGTTGTCAATAACAGTTCAGGCCACTGAGTTTGAAGATGACAATGGCTGTGCCAGGAATATCACAAACTATCATTCCATTGTAGCAAAAAATCTACAGAGCTGAGGTAACGAAACCAGCACTAGTGAATATCCAGAGAAAAACTACATTAGACATTATATGATGAGCCAGCTGGCTTTCTAGCCCCAAAATAAATGCAGTAACTAATTTACATAAAGAAATTTCTAACTAAATAAAATCACTTGAAAGGAAAAGATTATATTGCCACCACTAACGTGTTTTAGTTTAGAAAATATATCTTTTTGTGAAGGAAACACTTAATCAGACTTAGAGCTTGAAGGGACCTCAAAGATCATTTTATTTTTACAGAGGTCCATAGAGATTAATTGACTTGCCCCACATCACAGAGACATAATTAAAACCCAGTTCCTGTGACTCCAGAGTCAGTACACTTTTCCCTCTACCACACTGCCTCCTCAGGCTCTATGATGTAATGAAGACTGTGCTGGGGCTGTTGCCAGGAAACCCTCAGTTCAAATCCTGCGTCTAGTGTATATTAGTTATATTGAACAATCTTTAATGTAATCTTTAACGTAACTTCTTTAAGCTTCAATTCCCTAATCCATAAAATTGTTGATGACAATGGTTATGCCAGGAATATCAATCTAGTATTCTGTTGTAGCCAAAAAAAAGTCAGCAAAGAGTTACATCAAATGAGATTTTATATATATATATACATATATATATACATATATAAAATGCACTTTGCAAACTTAAGAGCACTATATAAACCTCACTTATCGCCATAAATTCAATGCCCTTTAATACTGAATTGTTAAGTAACTCTTCTTAAAATTCCCAGTGGTTTCACAATGTCTTATATAGTACTTCATGAAAAGAAATATTTTGTTGAAAACATCTCTGAGTGTATGTGTGTGTGAGCATGTATGCAGCGCCATGTGTCTGCACACATTGGTGATCAAGGGATTTCCTTTAAAGAATTCAACATGATGGGCTTAGAAGGCATTTTCTTCCTATAGTTATGCATGTTGTTGAAAGGACTAAAGACATCTTCTAATTAAGCCTCAGTGATAGAAACTGTCCCCAAGATGAATTGTTTGGCTCAGACTCTTGGGAGGATGGAGAAGGAACCATTCTTTGTCTTGGCCCATTCAATGGAACTGATAGATCACTTTCCCATTGTTGCCTCTTCCCTTCTGCATTTCTTTTGGGAGATATCCTGACCAAGCAATAGTTGTGGGTTATCGGGAGGTCTCATACCTCAAGGGCTCTGTTAATGGCTGCCTTGTGGATGAGGCACATGACACAGGCAGACATGCTTACCCATGTGGCCTGAGAAGAAAGTTCCTAGAAAATGTCATTCTAAATAGCAGTATGATGGGGGTCTGGTGCATGAACAGATTCTATCAGCTTGCTAAGATGGCATCTCTATGTGGAGGACACTAGGGAGAATTTTGATGGCTAGAGCATGTGACAAGATAGTCTGTGACTGGTTCTAGTTGGCCTACCACATGGTTGGGAAGAGCCTGTTTCCGCTGGTTGGCTTCCCCCTGTTGATTATCTCCAATTTATTCTGTATATATCTTCTTTGTACAGAACTGTTTGTATGTAAGAGCATGTCTTGCCTTTCTTTGTATCCCCTGCACTGAGCACAGTGCCTGACACCTAGTAGACACTTAATAAATGCTAGTTGACTGATAGTCTAGCTGTGCAGCCATATCTATTAGTATCTTCAAAAGGGCCTAAGTCAACTCTGGCTGTGTCTTACTGCCTCAGTAAGAGGAGCTTGGAGGAGTTTTCTGGTCCCTACTTTGTCACAGGCGTCCCCAGTGTCCTGGGAACATGGAACTTGCCATCTAGTCAACAATTCTATTCCTTCACATGTTGCCCCAGGATTTCCATAGTCCCTTGGGTCCTAGGCCCTTGGCACCACTTACTCAGAAATCTCTGGGAAGCTATGAATATAAAGGTGTACTTTTGAACCTTTTCAATATCTTTGTCTTAAAAATCAAAGCTTTCTTAAATAAACAGAGACTATGCTGCCTTACATATGCTCCAATAAAAGGGAAGGGAAAGGGAAAGGAAAGGGAAGCTTCAAAGGCCAAGGGTCTGAGCCACAGGAATCCGAGAGCCCAGGAATCCAGGCTGGGTGTTATAGTCAAACCAGCATCAAGGCCTCAAAGAGCACAGAAGCCAGCAGCAATGTCACTTTTGGATAGGAACTTGGTGGGAGCAATGTCATGAAAGAACTAAGCTAGATTGAGAACTTAATCCTTCCCCAGATACTGAATGCTATAGGGAATATTATGCCCCAAGGTGTTGGGTGGGAAGTGCTTATATGCTTGTTTTTCCTATAGTTGTCAAGTTAATAGGTCTTTGTAAAATCAAACTGATGTTAAAGGGAATTACTAATAACTGGGCCCCTAAAATGGGATGAATACAGCCAGTGCAGGCTTAAGCTGATAGCAGAGAAAAGAGATTCCCCACAAAATCATCAGAATACCTGAGAACCCTGAGGGAAGGACATAAGAAGGATGGGATAAGAACCTTAGAGAATGGGGTAAGGACATATGTATTACACCAGCTTTCTAGCTGGGAGGAGAATTCCTGAATAGTGCTAGTCTCAAAGGTTGCCTCTATGGGAACCCCAAGTTCAGAACTTGGAGCTCTTGCCTTCTCGTCATCTAGTCATTCAATAGACATTTATTAAGCCAGACATGGTGCTATGTGCAAATAAGCTATATACAGGATAAATTGGAAATAATCAAGTGAGGGAAGGTACTAGAATTAAGGATGAATTGGGAAAAGCTTCCTGTAGAAGGTAGGACTTTAGCTAGGACTTGAAGGAAGGCAGGAGGAAGAAATGAGGAGGGACAGAATTCCAGGCACAGGGGACAACCAGTGAAAATGCCTGGAGTCAGGAGATAAGAGTATCTTGTCTGAGGAACAGCAGGGAGGCCAATGTTATTAGATTGAAGAGTGCATGAGAGAGCATAAGGAATAAGACTGGAAAGGTAGTAGGAACCATGTTATGAAGGGCATTGAATAACAAACAGAGGATTTTATATTTGATCCTAAAGATGATAGGGAGCCACTGGAGGGGATGACATGGTCAGACTTGCATTTTAGGAAGATCACTTTAGTAACTGAGTAGAGGATAGATTGGAGTGGGGAGAGACTTGAGGCAGGGAGACCAACCATCAGGCTATTCTAATACATCAGGCATGAGATGATGAGGGTCTGCACCACAGTGGTGGCAGGGTCAGAAGAGAAGAAGGAACATATGTGAAAGACATTATGAAAGAAAAAATTAGCAGCCCTTGGCAACAGATTGGATGGAGGTAGGGTGAAAGATAAGGAGTTGAGGATTGCCATCTGTATTTCAAGTCTGGCTGACTGGGAGGATGGAGATACCCTCAACAGTAATCGAGAATGAGTTCAGTTTTGGACATGTTGAATTTATTTTTTGTTTGTTTTAACAATTGGACAGCAACTTACATTTTACTAGTCAATCAAGACGAGTAAGTGAAATCCAAAAAAAAAAATATTTTGAAAGCTTTTTTTTAGTCATTTAACTCATAACTGTTAGCCTTTTTGCCACAGTGGCT